TTTTTTCAATAGTGGATTTTTCCGGATGATAATCATCAGCGACTACATCTCCAAAACCAATTATCTTGTCGTTTTCAACAATAACAGGATAAAAGCAATTTTTAGCATCGGTTCGTGGAGATTTTTTGTTTCAATGCATAAGCCTTTTTCAATTAACATTTTCAGCGTTGATTTTTCTTTCTCCAATCGTCTTTTTGCCTCGTGGAATAACAAAAATAGCGTATTCATGGGTATAAGAAAAATTTGTTCCTTGTATTCCTTCTGGGTGGTGAACTACCACTATAACATGAATTTCGTGATTTTTAAAAATTTCTTTCAATAGCATCGTAAGTTCTGCCTGTTCGTTCTCGTCAATTGCCACAATTAGACAACCATCAGAAGTTAGTAATTTTTTGGCTATTTCCAACCGGTTTTTCATAAAAGTTAATCAAGTAGATTCATTAAAACCATTATTGTAAACAAAAGTATTTGATTTGCTGTCCGGATTATAAGGTGGATCAATATAAATTAATTTGATTTTGCCTTGATATTTTTCTTTTAGAGAGTAAAGAGAAAGGAGATTATTGCCTTTGATAATTAGATTATCATTTAGTGAAATATTGTCATTTGCTCTCTCTCTCTCTCTCTCTCTCTATTATCAGATAAGAGTTCTTGTTGGTCGTTCTTTCTCTGGTTTACGGCAAGAGAACAATCAAAGATTTTCTTTCCTTTATCATATTTTTGAAAATTGGTCAAAACTTTGGGAGTAAGTAAACGGTCAATTTCATCAGGAGCCAGAGTTTCATTTCAAAATATTTCCTGTCTTTTTGCATCTTCTTTAGTCTGTCCTCCTTCTAAAATACAATCTTTATAAGGTCAAACTAAAACTATTTCTTGGCTGTCAGTAAGATAATTGCCGTTAGCAGATAATCCTATTTTATTTTTATACTTGGTAAAACTATTAGGGAGAAATTGCTTGTTAGAAACGAAACTTTGAAATTTTATTTTGTCAAAAACGAGAATATTATCTATTTCTTGGAAAAATATTTTTTTAATTTCTGGGGAAGAGAGCAAGAGTTTTAAAAGATCTTTGTCTAGTTGGAGTGCTAATTCAATAATTTTGTTTTTGGCGAGAGTGCCGTCTAATATTAGTCTTTGGTCTTTTTTGAGGAGTTGGGTTAGTGTTAGTGTTTCTAATACTCTTTGGGCCATTACTAATTTAATTAATTTTTTCAACTAAAATCATTTTAAGAAAGTAGC